TCGTTGTAGTATTCGAGTGGCTGAAAGCCAAAGGGTATAAAAAAGGGTTGTAGTACGAGTAGAGCGGCGGCAAGCTTTATATCGAAAAGACTCTTCTAAAAGAAGAGACTTACTGCATATCATATTTCTGTATTTGAAATAGTAATCGATAATAGATGTTGAATCTAACCGGGGCTTCCGTAACCTTTGTATCCGTGTCTAAAGCTGGTATTCAACTCTTTGTAGGTATTGCTGTTGTAAAATCGTAATATAATCCTTTGCTATATCTCTAAACCTCTCTCCTTCCAATTCTTCCAATTCCATCTGCGACTCAATCTTAGCTCTGCAGACTCTCAAGAGAGAGCTGGAGGTTCGTAGGATGCACCGCGTACAGGTGTTGAGTCTTCGCATCCCTATATACTTATCTAGATTACCTAGATTACAGTACATAGTAATTTAATCCTCGATACTCGTCTTGTTTACTCATCTCTCTTCCGTTTTCGCTTTTATAAAAGGCGCTCGTGATTCATCGATCCCCTTTTCCGTTCTCGTCTCATCCAACTGGCATCATGTAATAGGTAGGTAGGTATCCAATACATGTAGACGGCTAACAAGACAGTATATACTCTCGTAGAAACTCTCGTAGAAACTCTCGTAGAAACTCTCGTAGAAACTCTCGTAGAAACTCTCGTAGAAACTCTCGTAGAAACTCATCTATCTTGTCCTAGTTAGTACCTTGTCCTCAACTCAAGCAGAAGCAGAAGCTCAACTCAAACCTCAAACATAAACGCAACTTCAACCCAAACACACATGTCCACCCATTCTCGTTACTTTCTCCCCAAACCCTAACTCCAACCCGATGAACACCAATAGATTCAATACTCACCTCACCTCACCTCACCTCACCTCACTGTATGAACTTGAACTTATACTTGAACTTATACTTATACTTACTCAGTACATATATAAAATGCACACCCACTTCGTGAACCGTGTCTAGGTACTTTATACGAAATTGCTATCATGGAATTTGAATTTCGATTTCGATTTCGATTTCGATCTTGGCGTGTTTGCGTGTGTGTTTGTGTATGTTTTTTTATTATATTCATGTTTATATTCATATTCATATCACGACTTACATCCCTTCATCATCTATCTCTTTTCTATGGGTTTGAACATTCTAAAGAGTATAAGGACTATCCCAACTCTCTACTCTCACACGAAGAAACCCCACATCATCTAAACCCTCCCTCTCCCTCCCTCCCTCCCTCCCTCCCTCCCTCCCTCCCTCCCTCGCTCGCTCCCCATTCACTCCCAAAACCAACTTATTATCATCATATTCTCATTCCCATATAGTATACACACATCCACTCCTCACTCCTCACTCCTCACTCCTCCCCATCCATCCACACATCCATCCCTCAACATACCATCAGCTAACATACCATACCATTACAAGAATCTTCTAGATCATATATACCACACACATACACATACATACATATACATATACCCCACCTACCGAACAACCCAAAGCAATCCGAGTAAGTATATCTATTTCCCAAGTTTTTATTATCTATGTAGATATCACATGTGTAGATAGCAATGAAGATAGCAATGAAGATGAAGATGAATCTCACATGTGCTATAGAGATCTAGGTTGTGATATCAGGGTTGGGTTCTTGTGCATACCTATCTAGATATTATATGGATATGTAGTTATTTTTTCTGAAAGGTATGGTATAGTATGAGATGAGATGAGGTAAGATAGTGCAGGATGTTATGGGAGGGGATGAGATGGGATGACACGATATGAAACGAGATATCAAGTATCAAGCTGGACTCGATATTTCACACGTGGTGAGAGATGGGAGAGATAGTGTAGTATTATAATATTATATTCGATTGTACTGCGTCACCAGATGATTACAGTTGGGTTAGGGTTTATAGCGAGAGAAGGTAATACGTGTATATTACAGTCATGTATGTCTGAGAAGTAGTAGAAGTGAACACGAAGAGTCGATGCAGCAGAGAAGGTTTGCAGATTGGAGAGTAGAGGAAACGAGTGTGAAAATGGGAATGAGGTTCGAGTTCCCATTCATATCGTCCGGACTAGAGAACGAGATGAATAGCTACGATAATCTCCCAACATCCTATTGGATTCCAAAATAAAAGATCATATAAGTTTCATTATCAAAACCATGATGCAGACTCCAGGAAACTTTGTCTGGACTAAAATGACATGTGTGCTCCACCGGGGAACAACGATGCATCTTGACGTGCTTCAATGCTGCAGCAATATTTGCAGGATCGGGGATGTGGTTGGAAGAGACAAGGAATGTGTGCATTTACGTATAGGGTATCCATTTATGTGGATATGAAGTTGACGATGGAGTGAGTGCCTAAATTCAAGTCAAAATCTAGAACCCGTAACCCGTAAAAGGTGAAGAAGAGACTTGGAATTACTTGGTTTGATGTAACTTTGACATGCAATCCGACGTGTTTGGGTCTTCAAATGCTTAGCCAGAGATCTTCTTGGAGAGACATTGGTTGGATAAAAACGGATAATTAAGAGGTTACTTAGCGGGAACCTGATTACTCATCTTGTTGGTACCGAAAAAACAAATGATGCGAATATATCTCCGCTCGACATAAGTGTGGTAGCGCAGCCAAGGTGTCAACATCTTAGATCGCAGATGATTCCAGACTTCTTTCTACCTTGGTTCATTAGAACAACTTTTCTGGGCAAGATAAGGAGGATGCTATGCAATTCGAAAACAAACTTTTAACACAAAGACATTTCAATCATCATTATTCACGGGTAGCCCGCCTAAAAAGATCTTTCGATGTACGGTATGCTATGTATGGTATAATGCATTTTGGTGGATCCGACGCAAGACTTTCTCAAAATGGAATCTTCAGATCAAAATGATCACATGATCTGGAATTCATGTGAGTGTGACGGCGGGAATATGTAAGAGGGAGAGCTTTGCGAGTAATTGAATATACCAAGCTGATACCCCTCGTTAAGAACAGGCACTAATCTGCAAGACTGGCGTCATTTTGATAAATCTGATACAAAGGTAATAACAAATGACATTAAGTAGAAAGACATCAGGTGGTGGTGTCGATGTTGGTATTTTTCCCTATCCGGCCCGACTTGGGTGCCGACGGAGATCTTGTTGTACCCGATAGATCAGCCGGATCATCTTGCCCGTAGGTATATCATTTACTGGAGTCATCAAAGGGTTCAGACCTTCTTCTTATTTCGGTTCAAGTATATGCTTGTACTTGTTAGGATAACCTGTCCTTGAGATCGATCATTTTTTCAAGCCTGACATATCGTTACACTGACAACATGCGGGATGTCAGATTGTATAGGATCAATCTATGTGGGAAACAGATTCCCACGCACCAAAGTTCCGATTAGTAAATGATATGCAGTCAGAAGCGCACTATGAAGGAGAAAGTAGATTTCCTTTTGGCAAAATATGATAGCATAGCCTTGCTAAAGAAGAAAGTAGGATTGATGGCTTCTCGTCTCCAGAGTTCAAAAGTTGTTGCAGATCATACAAATGTTTGTCAAAACATGCCAAGTACAACTTCATGTTTAGGTTTTGGAAGAATCGAGCCGCCATAAGCTAGACGTTATAATTCGTGGGGCCACTGTGAATAAGAGGCTTTCTATCTCAACATTGACTGGTTGACGTGACTTCAAAGTCGTTCGAAAATAGGATGAGCTGCATCTAGAGGCACCGCTAAGATGATACCGACATGCCGAGACCCTTTGAAAACATCATGAAGGCAAGATGAATGATCTCCCAACAATTGGCAAAAACCTTATAGCAAATTGATGATTATGATGATTAGTTATTGCTGAATTGTTGCTTTTGATATTTGGTACGAGCAACCTCAATCAGCATCATCCGGAGATCCGATTATATGAAACCTCCCGTTTCTCTTACCATGTTTTCCCTTGCATAGGCCGCGGGATGCCTTTTTTGATCTTCTGGAAAGAGCTCGAAATCTGTCGTGGCCCCGCCCCCCCCATGTTTTCCCATGTAAAGTCTGATGTCTGACTTCTCATAGGAAGACTCGAAGACTCGGGATGAGTTATTGGTAACACTGAGAGAACATATCCCATGTCCATGCGTGGGGAGAAAAGCAAAAACTCCATTCTAAGGTTAGTCCCTCTCCCCTACATATATCAGAAGTAGCTAAGCTGAGGTGGGATATTCGGCGGTAGATGCGATAAACATAATGAATTACCTTTTGGAGAACTAGACCTCGATGGATGTGATAGATGTGATAGATCATAGATGTCGTAGGCTTGATACCGGAAAAGCGGATAGAAGGAGTTTACAAGGTTGTTGTCTAACTATATTGGTATCGAACCTAGGTGTGAACATCATATCAAAGATCGGTCTGAAGGTAAGGTGTAAAGTGTAAGATGTAGTGTGCATATATGATGTATGGCTTGATATTTGTCTTGGATGAACATCCACTGACATACAGCATACCCTTGTCGGCGTGAAGACGTGGTTCTCGATACGTTCCAAGTTCCATTAATATATGTTGGACCATCACAAAAACTGTCTAGGTGTTGTATGTAGGAGGAATGGGGAAGGGGGGGAGGGGGAGGGGGTGAGGAGTCTGGGAGTCTGGGAGTCTGGGAGCCTGCGAGTGAGTCGATGAGATTGGGACAGATACCAAAGGCGGAAAACCAAAACCAGAACCAGACAAGAGTCTTCCTGCCGTGTCGACCTAGTGAATATCTAGCGGGCACATTACGAGATGGCTTCAATTGCTTACAAGGCTGTCATGAACTGTGGCTCTCCGGCCGTGAGCTTTTCTTTCTTTGAGCCCCACCATTCGTTCGAAGATTACCCACCTCGAGCCACCACCGGAAACCTTTGAAATCTTCCCCCGCAGCAACCGTTGATCTAAAAATTTACATAAAGCCATTCACCCCCTTTCACCTTTCGAAACTTCTCGTTTTCTTTCTACGATCTTCTTCCCACATGTCATATATATTCTCACGTTTGAGATCATCAACTGCAAGAATTCCAACTCAAGCCAAATTTCAATATAGAAACTTTTCTCGCACAAACGTCATCATGGGTGTCACAAAGCATATCATCAAGGAGGGTTCTGGTGCAACTCCCACAAATGGACAGACCGTCACCATTGAATATACCGGATGGTTGAAGGACACTTCCAAGGGAGACACTCTCGAGGCCCAAAAGGGCAACCAGTAAGTTCCTCGAGAAGCTCCATTCGTGTCCTCATTTGTATACTAACAGACTGACTCACAGATTCGATTCCTCTGTCGGCCGTGGTGCTTTCGTTGTTCAAATCGGTGTCGGCCAAGTCATCAAGGGTATTTTACCCCGCTATCCAATAAAAGTGACGTTGAATGCTTATTGACTTGGTATTAGGTTGGGATGAGGGTGTTACTCAAATGAAGGTCGGTGAGAAGGCTACTTTGGACATTACCCCGTAAGTTATACCTACCAATGGCATTGTTAGATGGCCTTGCTAATATATCTTCACAGTGATTATGCCTATGGTGCCCGGTAAGATTATTCACATCCCCCGTCTTTTCGATCATTCCTCTTTCCAGAGGTCGACTTGACAGCTTTTATCCTCGGAAAAAGACGGCAACACATTATGGAGGAACGGCATTGCTGATCTTTGTTTCTGTAGTGGTTTCCCCCCTGTCATCCCACCCAACTCAACTCTTATCTTGTAAGTCTCAAAATCTATTTGATACCAGATCTACAAAGTACTTGACTAACAATATTTACAGTGACGTTGAGCTCAAAAAGATCGGCTAAACACGCGATATTCAAAAGTTTTCGATCATAGACCGCCATTAAGGCGAGAAGGCTCAGGCTCACGAAGAACGAACGAAGGAACGAGTAAATGAATACATATTGGGTGGTAGCATATGTGAGCCGCCCATTAAAAGTTGAGAATGAATACCACGTTGTTTCTATGAAATCACCATGCACTTGGGACTTTGTGATGGTCATCAAACCTATGAATATTACATGAGGAGTGAACAGACGAGATACATAAATGGTGAACTTAATAAATCTGCAACCCACCCTTACAACCAGGGTGCGGATACCACCCCTCATGTACGAGTACAGCTCGTATAGATTGGGTCAGAATGACGAGGGGCTGTGTATTGGCCTACCTAACTAGAGTAGGTAGTATGAGTATATGATGCCGTCAGTTCACTCATCAGGCATCACGCATGTCAGACAGGGTCGATATGAGCGTTGATAGAGAATACAGGACTCTTTCAACCAGCCTTATGGGTCGAAATTGACATGATTCATGCAAGCCAGCCCGACTTATCTACTGAAATAAATGTCCTTGCGATGAGATGATTTCCATCGCCTACCATTCTTTTACCTCTTAAGAACTCCCAAACAGTACAGAATCTTGAAAAGTGCGTTGTTTGTAACAATCAAATAGCGATTCCATATACCGCGAGTGTTCTTAGAATATTGATACTCGAGGACATCCTCATGTGTTGATATGATTATTCCCATAAAATTAATTTTCTATCAAATCATGTCCTACTTCATAGATTCCTACTAGGTACGAGGGATGCCAGGTCCAGTGTAGTTATGTCATTTTTACTCTAGATGTTTCCATTTGTCAGGTCAGTGCTAGAGCCTCAGTGGCTGGGGAGGTGGGTGGATTGTGCGAGGCGAAGGGCATTTTGATACTGTAAGCAACCCGCTGCTTCCAATTCCAATTCTTATCAATACAGTAACATTGATCAAAATCATTTGACATTTCATCATTCCATTCTTTTTTTGAATCCAAAGAAACCACAAACCACAAAACACAGTGAATCCCAATCATCGAACATCCAACCTCTTTTCGAGAACGTTATTAGCTCAGTTTCCTCTACCTAGGTAATACTGCACCTCGCAAGGCGATAACCCCACAATATCCAACTACTCACGATCCGAGCCTTAAGTTGGTACAATCTAGTGAACCAGAAGAATAACACCCCTTTTCTGGAATCCTTTATCAAACGCCAACATTCCGTCAACAGTAGATTTAAACGGTGCTGGTAACCTGGGAAAACGTAAACTCTCCAACGCGGATTCTCAGAGGCCAGATAAAAAGATGATGACGGTAAGTGAAAGCTACCCCTCCAAATCATCAGCTATCTCAAAGCTCGAGCTTCGAGCTCTCTCAAATCATCTTGTTTCTAGTATTGCACAAACTAATATCGTTACTCTCTCACTAGGCCATACACACGAAAGATAAAGACATGGAGACTAAGATGCAGGTAGATGAGTCGGTGGTTGGCAATAACGAGATCGATGAATCGCTTTACAGCAGACAACTTTACGTTCTAGGACATGAGGCCATGAAGCGTATGGGTGCTTCGAATGTGCTGATTGTGGGACTCAAGGGACTCGGTGTCGAGATTGCGAAGAATATTGCTTTGGCAGGTGTCAGAAGTCTTACCCTCTATGATCCTGCGCCAGCCGCCATCTCCGACCTTTCATCTCAATTCTTTCTACATCCTGAAGATGTTGGAAAGCCAAGAGCGGAAGTGACCGCACCACGCGTTGCTGAGCTAAACGCATATACACCGGTTTCCGTTCACAAGTCATCCAGGTTAGTAATTCATTTTGGCGCGAGGCTATAATCTTGCTAACTTTAGCTCCCGCAGCTTAACAGAGGAACTCACTCAATTCGATCGATACCAAGTCGTTGTCCTGACCAATACCCCCCTCAAGGACCAAATCATAATTGGTGATTATTTACATAGCAAGGGGATTTACCTGGTAGTTGCGGATACATTTGGTCTCTTTGGATCAATCTTTTGCGACTTTGGTGATAAGTTCACTGTTCTTGATCCCACAGGCGAAGCTCCAGTCAGTGGCATTGTTGCTGGAATCGACGAGGAAGGTTTAGTATCCGCCTTGGATGAAACACGACACGGCCTTGAGGATGGGGATTACGTCACTTTCACCGAGTTGGAAGGCTTAGAAGCTTTGAACGGCGCAGAGCCTCGAAAGGTAACAGTAAAGGGGCCATACACTTTCTCTATCGGAGATGTTACTGGACTTGGTCAATACAAGAAGGGTGGAATGTACCAACAGGTCAAAATGCCAAAGTTCATTGACTTCAAGCCATTGTCCGCTGCTTTGAAGGACCCAGAACATCTTATTTCCGACTACGCAAAATTCGATCGTCCTCAGCAGCTCCATGTCGGTTTCCAGGCTCTTCATGGTTTCCAAGAATCTCAAGGTCGTCTTCCAAAACCCATGAATAAGGAAGACTCCCTAGTCATTGTCGAGTCTGCTAAGACCTTTATCAAAAATCAAAAGCTGGATATTGAAGTGGATGAGAAGTTGATCGCCGAGTTAAGTTACCAAGCTCAAGGTGATTTGAACCCAATGGCAGCTTTCTTCGGTGGTCTTGCCGCTCAAGAAGTGTTGAAGGCTGTTTCTGGGAAATTCCACCCAATCAATCAATGGATGTACTTCGACTCTTTGGAGTCCCTTCCTACCAGTTTCAAACGGACCGAGGAAACATGCAAACCCCTCAATTCTCGATACGATGGTCAAATTGTTGTATTTGGTCAAGAATACCAAGAAAAGCTGTCCAACATCACCCAGTTCTTGGTTGGTGCCGGTGCTATTGGTTGCGAAATGTTGAAGAATTGGGCCATGATTGGTTTAGCCACAGGCCCAAAGGGTAAGATCTTTGTCACTGATATGGATTCGATCGAAAAGAGCAATCTCAACCGTCAATTCCTCTTCAGACCTAAAGATGTTGGCAAGTTGAAGAGTGATTGTGCTGCTGAGGCAGTACAAGCAATGAATCCTGATCTTAAAGGTCATATTGTTACCATGCGTGATCGAGTTGGTCAAGATACCGAACATATTTTCAATGAGCAATTCTGGTACCAACTTGATGGCGTTACTAACGCTCTCGATAATGTTGATGCGCGAACTTACGTTGATCGTCGTTGTGTCTTTTTCCGAAAGCCTTTGTTGGAGAGTGGAACCCTTGGTACTAAGTGTAACACACAGGTTGTTCTCCCTCATCTGACCGAGTCATATTCCAGCTCTCAAGATCCTCCCGAGCAATCTTTCCCAATGTGTACACTTCGAAGTTTCCCTAACAAGATTGAACATACCATTGCTTGGTCTCGAGAATTGTTCGAATCATACTTTGTCAAGCCAGCAGAAACAGTCAATTTATACCTCACTCAGCCAGACTACCTCGAAAAAACCTTGAAGCAGGGTGGCCAAGAAAAAGCAACCCTAGAAACGATTCTAGATTTCTTAGTTGAGGATAAACCATTGTCTGTTGAGGACTGTATCAAGTGGGCTCGTCTACAATTCGAGAAGCAATACAATAATAACATTCAACAATTACTGTACAACTTCCCTAAGGATTCAACTACATCAAGCGGTACACCATTTTGGTCTGGACCAAAACGTGCTCCAGATCCATTGAAGTTTGACCCCAAGAACCAATATCATTGGGATTTCGTTGTCGCTGGTGCTAGCCTTCATGCCTTCAACTATGGAATCAACACCACTGGTCTCAACTCAAGCACAATTCAAAAAGTTCTCGATAACATGATCATCCCCGATTTCTCTCCCAGCTCTTCCGTCAAGATTCAAGCTGATGACAGTGAACCTGTAAGTTTCATTTTTCTCGTTACACTATGAAGTATGTCTGACAAACTTAGGATCCAAATGCTGGAAACAGCTCATTCGATGACAGCACGGAGCTTCAAAATCTCATGGCTAAGCTTCCATCGCCTAAATCATTGGCCGGTTTGAAACTTTCACCAGTAGAGTTTGAGAAGGATGATGATACAAACCACCACATTGACTTTATCACCGCTGCTAGTAACTTGCGTGCCGAGAATTACAAGATTGAGCTTGCCGATAGACACAAGACAAAGTTTATTGCTGGCAAGATTATTCCTGCTATTGCAACCACTACTGCTCTTGCCACGGGATTGGTAATCATGGAGTTTTACAAGATTATCGATGGTAAAGATGACATTGAGCAATACAAGAACGGCTTCGTCAACTTAGCCTTACCTTTCTTTGGATTCAGTGAACCTATCGCTAGTCCAAAGGCTACATACAAAGGTCACACAGGAGAAGTCTCTATTGACAAACTCTGGGATCGATTTGAGGTTGAGGATATTACTCTTCAAGAACTCATCGACGACTTCTCAAAGAACAAGGGTCTCGATATCACTATGTTGAGTTCGGGTGTTAGTCTCTTGTATGCCAGCTTTTTCCCCAAGGCAAAGTTGGCGGATCGATTGAATTTGAAGCTCAGCGAACTTGTTGAGCTCATTTCCAAGAAGCCTATCCCAAGTCATCAAAAGACGGTGATCTTCGAAATTTGTGTTGAAGATCAAGATGAAGAAGATGTAGAAGTTCCTTATATTATGATGAAGTTGGGCAATTAACGACAGAATGAAGATGAAGGGGCATACTTTTATGGGACTAAAACTAGAGTAGCACGCGAATTATGAATTTAGCAAATTATAAATACCTTACAAACATAGGTGTCATTAATGTGTTGAATAATGTCAAACAGTATCTGGATACCTACGTGGGGATTATGATTACAGTATTACTATGGGATTTTGAGTTTTTCTGATAAATCCATATTGGGGGGCGAAAAGCTCTACTCTTCATTGAAAAATTCTTGATACTCTTTGATCAATTCTTGCTTGGTCAGGAATTACCTACAAAATGGTCAGCAATTACCAAAATCCCCCAAATCCACGAAATTCGCTCTTTTCGCTCTTTGGAAGAGGCCTGTGTCTGTGTTGTGTTGTGTTGTGTTGTGTTGTGTTTTGTAAACTTAGTAAGTGCTTTGTAGAAGAAATGTAAGCAGACTCGGCAGATTAGCAAGGATGCACCGATATAGCTCCAATCAATGACAAATCTCTACCCCGCCATCCATCTTCAAGCTTCCCATTCTTCCTTTGTATCACAACATATAGAGGGGAACAACATCACCTCTCTCCTTTCAATTCAACTCAATTCAACTCAGTTCATGCTCTCTAGACTTCGTCAGTTATCTGTACAGCTTCCAACTCTTTCAAATTTACCAATAAGAGGTTTCAGTTCTAGTAAATCTATAAATATGGTTCGTTGGCTCTAAGCTCTCGTGAGATAGACATTTACTGACATGAGAAATACATAGGCCGAACAAAAGATCACTAATTGGGTGCCACTTAACGATAAGACGGGAGAATTTAAGAGAGGACAATCTCAATTTCGAAATTTCATTAAGAAAGGGGGAGAATTTCCACCCGAGAAAGGAAGATATCATCTCTATGTAAATACACCTTCCCTCCTTCCCACTTCCACTCATTCGTTTGAGGTCGAGCATTTCCCGACTAACCATAAACCCAATTAGGTATCTTATGCCTGTCCATGGGCTCACCGCGCATTGATTGTGCGCAAACTTAAAGGTCTTGAGGATATCATTCCATATACTAGTGTACATTGGCATATGGCAGAAAAAGGATGGCGATTTGCGACTCCTGAAGATGATGTCACTGGTGAGAATGTTACAGCTTCTCCAGTAGAAGCCCACAAAGGGTATACCCATTTGAGAGATATCTATTTCCAAGTCGATCCGGAATATAGTGGGAGATTCACAGTTCCCACTCTTTATGATGTGAAGCAGGGAAAGATTGTTAGTAATGAGAGTAGTGAAATCATTAGGATGTTTTACACTGAGGTAGGTTTGGACTTTTTGTTTTGTTTTCTGAGGAATTTTGGGTAACGGGCACTGACATTGAGATAGTTCGATGACATCATTGCTCCGGAATACAAGAATGTCGATCTCTTTCCTGCCAATCTCCAAAAGGAAATTGAAGCTACAAATGAATGGACATACAATGATATTAACAATGGAGTCTACAAATCTGGCTTCGCCATTAAGCAGGAAGCATATGAGAAGGCTGTGATTCAACTCTTCGCATCCTTGGATCGGGTTGAGAAACATTTGAGTGAGAATGAGGGACCATATTATTATGGAAAGAACATTACCGAAGCGGATGTGAGATTGTTCACTACAATTATTCGTTTCGACGTCGTTTATGTTCAACACTTTAAGGTATACATTCACTCAGCTTGGCAGTTGGTCAAGCGCGACAATTGCTAACGAGTTTAAAAGACAAATATCCGAGATATTCGATCAGGATATCCATTCATCCATAAGTGGTTAAGGAATCTGTATTGGAATGTTCCAGCATTTGGAGAGACCACTGAGTTTACCCACATTAAAAACCATTATACTAAGAGTCACACTCAAGTATGTGCCTTTATTTCTTTTAGAGAGGCGAGCTTTATACTAACCGAATTACAGATTAATCCATTCAGTATTTCTCCCGTGGGACCTGAGCCACCTATCTTGAGAGAAGATGAAGAAGTTCCAGCTGTTAAATGGGCTTTGAGTTTGAGGAAGTGAGATGGTGAGAGGTAGTACTGTGTTGAGTTAGGAAATTAGAACAGATGAAAGGTATTATTAGCCTTTAGTGCTGTGGTAATAAATTTATATGGAATATTGATCTCACTTTGTTCGTTGGATTGCCTCTAACTTTGATTGATATATGAAAGCATTTATCTTGGCTTAAAATTATTTACAGGTTCTTGCCTACATTCCCGGAAAGTTGTTCACATTGACCCTCCTGTTTGATCTTTTGGGAGTAGTCTCCCGGTCCTCCTACACCTACCTATACAGGCTATATATCTGAAAGAATGCAACTGGCTTCAGTTATCCGAATCCGCCAACGCCTCTATTTGGGACCATACTGTGATATTACATATCTTGTGAGGTTTCTACTATCCGATTCATCTCTCCTCTCCTCACATCCTCTTCTCCCATTGATTATTCTCTCCTTTACTGCCCGCTTCTTTTCTCGGTTTGGATGTTCGTTCGCATCAAGTGGTTTTACATGGCACTAGTGATGAACGTTGTGTTTGAGAATTGCTTTTGATGTTTTTCATGGGTTTAATTATTCAATGGGTGGTTGGGTGGTTGAGATGGGGATATTAGATTTTTGTGAGGTGTGAATGCTCTTGTGTGAGAAGTAATGTTATCTTGGTATTTTTTAGGCGAGAGTGGGAGGAGGTGAATGGGAGGAGGTGAATGGGAGGAGGTGAATGGGAGGAGGCGAATATAAAAAATAAAATTAAAGAGATGAATAGAAAGAGATGAATAGAACAGAGATAGAATAGAAAGAGATGAATACGAAGATGAATAGAAAGCGATGAATGAAAGAAACACATATAAGGAAGTGAATGTGAGAAGGTGAATGAAAGGAAGTAAATAAGAGAAAGTAAATAAGAGAAAGTAAATAAGAGAAAGTAAATAAGAGAAAGTAAATAAGAGAAAGTAAATAAGAGAAAGTAAATAAGAGAAAGTAAATAAAAAGAAGTGAATGTACGAAAGTAAATATATCAAACCCGATTTTAATACGAAAATTATACGAATCTTGAAGCGAGATATCTGATGTATACCTAGTCGCAGAGTGTATATTCCTCAAGCGAGCTTCTCATTTACTATTCTCTCTATCCTAACTCATATTTATATCACCCTACTCCTCTTTCGTTTTATTTTTCTTCTTATTATTCCCTAAATCCATCAACCGCTCTAAATCCATCAACCGCCATTCCCTCCGCTTCAAATCTCTATATAATGGTAAAAATTCATACTTTTTGCCCTCCCATATTGTCGGGATATCGATCATGTGATCTAAGAGGGCACTGTATTTCACTAGCGTATGTACTAGCGTATCACTAGCGCTCAGCACTTCTCCTCTATAAATACTAGCTTCCCATGTTTAATAATGATCAAGAACGAATACAACCCACAATAGACTAAAGTACTATACACTTTATCACCCCAAGTTGATACCAACACATATAGTCTAAACCAAGCAACCCTCGCCGAATCCTCCATTCTTTCTTTCCTCACCCCCCATCTTTCACACATTCTCTCATCAGTACCCCCTTTCTCTTTCTCTCCTATTTGTTACTCTCCTCCTACCCTCTTCATTCATCTATCCTCTTCACACACCACCAGCTCAAAAGCTTCATCTACCACAAAATTCCCCTCCTCCCCTCCCCGGCACCACACTTCATCGCTTCTTACTTACCAACACTTACTAACCTCACATCTATCAACCTCACATCTAATCACCCTCACATCATCACATCATCCATATCTACCAACTAACCCACCCATACCTTTCCAATCCCCAATCCCCAATTTCCAACCTCCCATATATCCACCCCCACCACCCTCCCCCCCGCCCAAAAAACCCCCAAACCCCCCCACAACCTTCCCAGCAGCTCAAAATTGAAAATCTACCAAACAAAACAAGAACAAGACAAGAGAATAGAATATACATATGAAAGAATACTCCGACTCCAACTCCGAGCCGAGCCGACAGGTTTAATCATGACTATGCAAATTAATACGGAGAGCGGGGAGCGGGGAGCAGGAATACGTGTTTAGTATATCTAGATGTGATATCTTGGATATTAGGTAGGTATATTAGGTGTATATATATATAATTATTGAGTTTATACCGAGCAGTAGAGATACAAGGTTTACTTATCACTGCCACTGCCACTGCCACTGCAGACAGGTATCATGTATAATATAATATAATATAATATAATACAAAATACATGTGAGAAAGAGAGAACGTTAGATGTGGTCAGGTAATCTTCATGTAATCTTTAGGTCATTCATCTCATCACATCACATAACATCACATCACATCATGCGAGGCTGACTCTTTTTTCCCCTCTATACATACCTAGGAATAGACTGAGACTAGCAAGTTTTTTCTTCATGTATGTATATATACCTCTTGCAGATACTTTTGAGTTCTGGATACTGCTTTGGTTCTTTTGATATGTATATTGAATTGTATTTAGAGGCCTTGAATATTATTCGCCCACAGTTGAGATATGACTGCTTCTGACAGGTAATTGCTGCCGATAGTCTTTCTCCCGTTTCAGCATCGAAAATGCCAATTATACTTCCCATTCATGTGCGTTCCATGTTTGCGCCAAGAATATAAAGGGAAAAGGAAAATAAAAGATAAGTAACATGGATCATTAGAGAAACGCTGCTTGCGCCCAAAAATCCATTCTATTCCCATTCTAAGTATGCGCCAACGCTTTGGGTATACCGTAGAAATACACCAGCTAATACCCAATTACTCATGCCTTGACCTTTTATACAATTCCCTTTTTAACCTTCGTCTGTACCCTCACAGTCGGTAAGGCCCACCCCATATATTCCTTCTCAAGACCCATAGCGATTTCCTTTAAAGTTCTTTCTTCCCTTACGAAACTTTGTTTGAAATCCACCCATATTCTTAATATATCCTCGGGTTCCATCCTCGGTTCTACAAATTCGAAGTCCTCGTCCAATCTGCCGCACGGCCTTCTCTCCTCTCTAATGATAAGTTTAACCAAGTCGAGATTCGGAAAAGATCGCATTAATGTTGCTTTATTGTATGATTCCCAAGGTCTCTTGATTTCTACATCCACATGATCGATTCCAATAGCTTTGACATCATCGAGAAGTTCTGGTGTATTTAAAAAGGTACGAAAGTCGCGAAGGGTTTCATCATACCCCATTGCACGATGCCGAGGAAGGTAAAGAATATCGATGTAAGGATTGAAGTAGATTCTTGGTTCGGAAGTCTTTGTTCCGAAAGAAAGTGTATATACACGTAAAGCTTCGGTTCGTGATTCGTGATTAGCTTGGAGGATTGCAGGAGGTGGAATCATCGAACGACATCGATCGATGGTAGGATCATATCGAACTTCAACGGTACGAGTGGTGCAGGCATATCGCCAGACGAGAATTCGAAGTTCAGGTAAGAGTTTCGGGAAAAGATGGAAATCGTTGAGTGGTTCTTGAGATGGGGAAATCATGGTAGATTGTGGTCTGTAAATCATTCGTAGAACTTGAGGATCCATTGATGGATTGTTTTTGATATAAGAGGTGAACATGTTGAAGAAGAACAAGTAGTAGAAATCTTTTGAAAAGGCTGAATGTGAAGGTATTGCATGGAAGGAAGAGCCTATTAATATTAAATGATTATGCGGTCAATCTTGAGCGCTTAAGAGAGAAATATCATTTAGCCTTTAAGCCTTGCAGTGTTGTATTAGAAGTGAAGTGAAGTAAGGTAAAGTTGAGATGGAGTAGAAGTCGACTGAATGAATGTTATACACGCTTTTGCTGAAAACGTCTTGAATTGACACATGCAAGAAGAGACCTCGGAAGGTTAAGGAAGGGAAGGGAAGGGAAGGGAAGAAGGAAGATATAAAGTTAAGTGTATGGGAAAGCCTCACTTAGGGACAGGAACCCGATCACAAAATGAAATATGGATATTGTGAGCTGATAGTAATCTAGACTTCACTTGATTGATCAACGATGCCCAAGGTTGAAAGAGTCAAACTTCCATCCTAGCAAATGCATCCAGTCGCCAAGACGAAAATGATAGAGATTCTTGATATAAATCACTCGATTAAGGTGTGAGATCAACCACGCTTCACTCAATTTAACCGCATAATGGTCTATATTCAGTAAGGGTTGAGGGACCGGCGTATATGAGGAAGGTAAGTGACGTTCCTGTTGTGTTGTTTGTGTCGTTTGTGTGGTGAAATCCTTGTTGGGCAGAAGAACGTGGTCTGATGTTGGTGGAGATGGATTTATCTTACTAAGAGAGGATTGGTTGATGTTATGACTTTTTACATGGCGAAATACCATTTCACACCTCACTGATGAAAGGGAAGGAAAACAACAGGGAAAAACCTTTGATAGTCAATCAAAATGGGGTGATATTTACGAGATGATTTATAGAGAAGAAGGCATGATATAACAATAATAACAGTAGCTAGGTAATTTAAGAATACAGGAATATAGGTATAATGAGAAAGTCCTGGTATATAATGATGAGTGTTTGTTGTGAAGATCACCGGTCCACCAGCTTCACCAGTGCTTCCCTTTGCTTGCTTACCTAAGCACAAGGTACCAATAAGCAGAAGGCTGACAGATCGAACCACGTGAGAATCTGCTGCCCAGGCCAGGTATCAACGGAGAATTCAAGGGGGGAAATTCCGGGAACCCCAGTCTACAATACCTTCTAGCGTCTGCTCTGTACAACTCCCGCATACCGGGTATGACCTTAGCCTCGTGTCGAGCATAGACAAGGCTGTGATCAATACCCCACCAGGGCCACCACCAAGTTCGAATCTAATAATACTTGTAACTCCTTCAAGAAATGTTCCGAGACATTTTATAAGATTATCGAATTTAAACAAAATATCAAAAAAAAAGAAAAAGAAAAAGAACAAAAAAAGAAATCCAGATATGATGGCGGCGTCAAAAGCTCCTATGCCCTCGGCTTTAACTTTTGAGTTATTGGCTCGTTGCTCTGTAAGCTATCGTTACTTTTCTTTCTCTTCATCACCGCTCTCTAATCTCTACAAATATGCTAGACAACAAAAGCAAGAGCCGCCAATTTGACTTTACCTCATGGGCCAGTCCAATTACCCATGTTCATGCCAGTGGCCACACAAGCATCATTAAAAGGGTTGACTCCGCAACAACTTGAGGATACAGGTTGTCGTTTATGCTTGAACAACACCTATCACCTAGGCTTGAAACCAGGGCAGGAAGTTTTAGACAAAGTTGGGGGAGCGCATAAGTTACAAGGATGGAACCACAATATATTAACAGATAGTGGAGGGTAATTTTGTCTACGCATCAACCTACACACCCCTTTTGAAAAACTAACATAATGTCGATAGTTTTCAAATGGTCAGTCTCCTAAAATTGGCCAATATCACAGAGGAAGGTGTACGATTTTTGAGTCCGCATGATGGATCCCCTATGTTACTCACGCCTGAGCATTCAATGTCTCTTCAAAATTCCATAGGAAGCGACATTATCATGCAACTCGATGATGTATTAGTTTACCACCCTCTCCCGATGCCGAAAGAATGAAAGTAGCAATGGAAAGAAGTGTTAGATGGCTCGATCGATGTATTACCGCACACGCGAACCCGACTACGCAAAATCTGTTCTGCATTATACAAGGAGGATTGGATTTAGAGTTGAGGAAAAAATGCTGTGAAGAGATGGTAGCAAGAGGGACACCAGGCATCGCAATAGGTGGGTTAAGTGGTGGTGAAGCCAAGTCAGATTATTGTCGTGTAGTAAATACATGTACGAGTCTCTTGCCAGAAAATAAGCCCAGATATGTGATGGGAATTGGATATCCTGAAGATTTGGTAGTCAGTGTGGCATTAGGTGCAGACATGTTCGATTGTGTATGGCCTACTCGCACAGCACGATTTGGAAACGCAATCACCAAACATGGAGTCCTCAATTTACGACACGCATCTTACGCGAACGATTTTGGACCAGTGGAAGAAGGATGTGGATGCATATGCTGCAGAACAGGAGATGGCGGTCTGGGTATCACAAGAGCATATGTTCACCATTTAGCTGCTAAAGAGACTGTTGGTGCACATTTACTCACCATGCATAATGTTTGGTATCAACTGGAGTTGATGCGAAATGCTAGGAAAGCTATTATTGAAGATAGATATCCCGCTTTCATCAAGAAGTTCTTTGCAGATCTTCACGGTGGTGAGAAATCTAAATATCCAGATTGGGCAGTAGAAGCATTAAGAACAGTTGGTGTTGATCTAATGGAGTAATAAGAGAAGATTTTAGGATAATAAGAGATGAAATAGATACCAATAGTAAAATGGTTTGGAAGAGAATTGCTGGGCACTGCATGCAATGACAGTCTGACAAAAAAAAAGAAACAAAACCTACCCCTCCCTAAGCAACTAGAGATATAACTTGAAACGACGGCGTTTTCTACGAGCATAAGAGATTGAAATTCAAGATGTTGTTATTTCCTTCAGACGACTTCTGATATATTTCTATCAATATTGAAACTTATTTCATTACTCTTCTCTTGGATCCTCATAAAATAACGACACCGAGGCTGAACCGTTAACTGGCAGGGGTTCGCGATCTGCGTCAGTACGCGATTTAGGGATTCTTTGCCGCATATTCCTTCGTCATCGTCATAAGCTTCTCTATCTGGAAACTTCGCGACGAGGAGATTGAATTAAAGTGAAGGGTCAAGATTGAAGTGAAGGTTGAGCTTTCGGCTCAACACAATTTCACAATTCACTCATTCACTCATTTACTCATTTGCTCATTTACAATGGCATACTCATCGACAAATGGTGGGCAGAAATGCCAGCCCTCGCCCGTCCAGTTGCCCTCCTCGACAAGTACAACGATACTCCAATATCAAATTCACTGAGACGCCTTTCAATCAGTAACGCTTCTAGAACTGGTCTTCCAATTTCACCTCAAACTTCTTCGACAAGAGCTACATCATATGGGGGTCATTCAAATCTCTATCCATCACCAAGTGGTAGAAGCCCCGTGCTTCCAAGCCCCTTACGCCGAAGTTCCAGTACTGCTAGTTTCGACCAACGTCGCTCATCTACTTCACATCTCTCTCGGAAACCGTCTTTAAATTCGCTTAACGGTGGAGGTTTAACTCCAAACAAAAATTCAATAAACAGAAGATCATCGACACAATTTGCACACAGGTCACCATCTGTCATGGGTACTAAATCACTCCTCTCCCAAAGGGAGGAAGAAATGCGTGAACCCTCACCGCGGCATACTGCAGCATCCATCGCAAGCTCGCATTTCAAGTCGGAATTGGATTTACAAGATAAGAATGATGGCTCAAGATCTGCAGAGACAATTGTTATACTTCACGACTCCGTTTATGGACATCGCTTCTCCCGGCCCAAAACTTCAAGAACCGGTTTGAGTACAATTGTCGAAAGACCTGAGAGAATTCATGCTAGCATACTTGGATTGTCTGTAGCATATGTACGACTGGGCGAAAGACATTCCGAGGGTCGCTATCCTCTTCGTCCTGGCATGGAAGCTTCTGCGGTACCTAGTACACCCTTTCGCATACGCAAAACTACTCGTCGAATGTCTTTATCCTCGCAAGCGATCACAAATGTACATGGAGTAAAGTGGATGGAGGAGTTGAAGATTATGTGTGATAATGCAGAAGCCAAGCTCGCTATGAGCGGAAAAGAATTGGCTAGACCTGAGATGAATCGAGGTCCCAATGAAGCACCTCCTTCAAAGTTTCACGAGGGTGATCTCTATCTGTGTGCGGAGTCTTTGGACGCTATGGAGGGTGCGCTGGGTGCTGTATGTGAGGGTGTTGATGCTGTTTTTGAAGGCTCTTCTACGGGATTCGGACCACGCCGAAGTTTTATTGCGATAAGACCTCCTGGACATCATTGTTCAGCTAGTTATCCTTCGGGATTCTGTTGGTTGAATAATGTTCATGTTGGTATTTCACATGCTTCTCTGACTCACGGTTTAACTCATGCGGCTATCATTGATTTGATCTTCATCATGGAGATGGATCTCAAGCAATCGCTTGGGAACATAATGCTCGTGCTAATGGATTGGCTAAGAATGCATTACCGTGGAAGAAGACTTCGATTGGATATTTCAGTCTCCATGATATTAATTCATACCCATGTGAGATGGGTGACGAGGAGAAAGTCAAGAATGCTAGTCTTTGTATTGAAAATGCACATGGTCAAAATATTTGGAATGTTCACCTACAACCATGGAAAACTGAAGAAGGATTTTGGGAACTATATGAATCAAAGTATTCAGTACTACTTGAGAAGACACGAAATTTTTTACGCACACAATACGAGCGGCTTCAATCATCACCTAACGGACCCAAGCCAAAAGCTGCAATTTTCATATCGGCTGGTTTCGATGCCAGTGAGTGGGAGAGTTCTGGCATGCAACGTCATAAGGTCAACGTTCCAACCGAGTTTTATGCTCGTCTAACCCGAGATGTTGTAAAACTTGCAGCTGAGGAAGGTACAGGGGTAGACGGAAGGATTATTAGTGTTCTTGAGGGTGGTTACAGTGATCGTGCTTTGTGTACCGGGGTTTTGAGTCATCTTAGTGGTTTGTCAGGAAGTGATCCTGTAGCTCACACCGAAAAATCATTCACAGGTCTAAACTTTGAAATGGGACAGAGACTTGGTGTAGATCCATTGAGCCCTGGGCCGCCATCTCCTTATGGTTTCATGCCATATGATCCATTATGGTGGTCTCAAGGTCGATTGGAACAACTTGATGCTGCTATGAATAGTGCACCAGTCGCCGAGGAGCCGAAAACTCAAAAAGCTGCAGGACCTCAAGGAAATTTTGCATCTCCTACACAATCCTTCATTGCTAAAGTCGTCAATACTCCTACGGCACAACGAAGTGTATCAACGATGGGTATGAGAAATGGAGTGCCAGTTCCAAGATCTTCACCTCCTAGGCCACCTACTCCTCCACCACCCGATGTTCATTGGACAGTTGCAGCTCATGAATTGAGTAAATTGCTTATTCCAACTGATAGACAGACAAAGAGTTGTCAATGGGAAGATCTTGCTGCCGAAGCTACAAAAGCAAGAAAAGAACGTCAATCATTAGCAAACCCCGAAGCCGCCCAACAACCTGCTAATCCGGAACCTGCTAATGCCAGAATGTCTTTACGAACAAGAAAACCTCCACCAAAATTGCTTGATAGCATCGAAAAGGATGAGGTCAAAAAGCCTGCTGCAAAATCAAACCGTCGAAGAACCGTTCCTAGCACCGCCGCTTCACCTGTGCACAAAGTATGTATTTACGTCATGTTGTATAGTTACAAACTAACAATTAATAGGCTACCCCTGCTCCAAGCGCAAGTCAAGCATCTGATACGAATTCTAGTCAGTCAACACAAAAGTCTGCTCGGAGACTTAGTGCCGCATCTATATCCACTACTAGGGCAATGCCTCCTCCTTCTCGACCGGTACCTGCTGCTAATAGAGCGCCATCACTTCCTCAAAGACCGAGTAGTTCTATGAGTGTACGACCGGGGTCCGCTATGAGTTCTCGTGGACCTCCTCCACCCTCTGTCGTTGTAAAGAAAACAAGAGCACCTGCCAAACCTCGAACTGATGCTTCAAAACCAGGTCCAGGTCGACCCCGCAAGAAGTCTCCTCCAGTGACTGGCTCCGATAGTAATATGAAGAATACCATTGAAGCTGTTCCAACTGCGGAAAATAGTAACCAGTCTTCTGACGTTGATAGTCTAACTTCTGGTATGAAGAAAATCAAGATTAGTCTTCTGACTAAAGCACAGAAAGAGGCCAAGGAAGAAGAAAAGCATAGGGTGAAAATTGAATCGAGTCAGGAAGATGGGCAAGCATACTCGAATATGTCAAACGAAACACCGCCTACAACAGCCAATTCAGAGACGACCTACAATCAATCTGCAACTTCTACACCAATAATGAGTATTTCACCTGGACCTTCAACCCTGCAACTATTTCTTCCTCCACGTGATTCTGCTCAATTGGAAGAGCCTGAACAAGTTCCCTTACCGACTAGTTCACCTATCGGTCCTCCCATGGAACAATATGAGTCTGGAAATGTTTCGGATCATTCATCAAATTACAGCGCGGACGGATTTGTGCCCTTTCAACCACAAGGCCCGATTCCCAGCACGATAGCACAACAAGAACCACTTCGATGGTTACCACCGAATACAAACACACCAGCCGCAGTGAAGAAATATGATCTTCCAGTATTTACATCTACCTCCGCCATACCTTTTGCTTCGATTTCCGACGTTGACAATCAAAACGAACCTTCAAATTCACACGCCGAACAAGATTCATCCCCATCTGAATCTACACAGTTAGCTTCCTCGATCTGGGATATTCCTGTTACACAACGGGATCAATAGATTCTCTCCAAGAAACTTTCATTGGTATACATATTGAATTAAATCGACCTTGGTAAACACATATCCATTCCCATGATGGCAATAAGCTTGTACTTTTTCTTTGTTCATGATACCCTTTAGAAGGAAGTGTTAGGGAGAACTGGGGAATGAAAGGTCTGGATATTTGTACCATTATAGAGACTTTCGAGTAGAGAGCAAATAATTATAATTATCAATGTTTTGTGGTTCGTATGACATGTGAAATTCAATCTCGAATTGTTAGTATAGGAAGAATTTCCGTCATACACTTATTCCTGGAGGTTATTCCAGCCAAGGCAGTGTATTTGTATCTTTATGTAAAACATGTCTCTATACCCCCGGATCACCCCAGGAATTGGATGTTGTTCCGCCTAGATTGTCTATTTGTAGGAAGGAATATAGGTGGAACTGATCACGCCTATAACACTTTCAATAATTCGATTAGTACTTTCGAAAATCATACAAAATAGAATGCTTGAATGTTATTCAAATTAATTAGAGCCGATCCTTGTCTGAGTTTTTCTACATTTCTATGTTAAATTTGTGGTCGATTTAAAATTCAATTGATTCGAAAGATAGTAACAAAGACTGTGGGGGATTTTCTCCTACGAACAGGTTCTGAGGGGAACAGTCACGTGATCATAAAGTGACACTAGTGTCCCAGCTAGCGAGACATCGACAACTTTTCCCACACAAAAGAATTTTGAAGATTTTATACCTCTCAATCGACAACCGCAAAAACTTTCGACAACCACCACATACAACCCCCTCAATACCGTAATCATGGGTCGCGTTCGTACCAAGACTGTTAAGAAGTCCGCCAAGGTCATTATCGAGAGATATTACCCAAAGTTGACTCTCGATTTCGAGACCAACAAGAGAATCTGTGATGAGATCGCCATCATTGCTTCCAAGAGACTCCGCAACAAGGTAAATTACAACCTGCAATTGAATGGGATGGAAAACCGGCGGATTTCTAACAATTGCCAAAATAGATTGCCGGTTACACCACCCATTTGATGAAGCGTATTCAACGTGGACCAGTCCGTGGTATCTCCTTCAAGCTCCAAGAAGAGGAGAGAGAACGTAAGGATCAATACGTTCCAGAGGTTTCTGCTCTCGATGTTTCCAGCACTGAGAGCGGACAACTCGAGGTCGACGTCGAGACAAAGGATCTCCTCAAGTCCCTTGGTGTATGTATTTTGCGCAATTTGATATTTATTTTCGCATCTAATATTTTTGTTACAGTTCGATTCTATCCCATGCAACGTCACCCCAGTCACTCAAGCACAAACCACCGAGCGTGGACCAAGACGATTCGGCGACAGACCTGCCCGCAGAGAATAAATTTATGGATTTACAAAGGGTATGGGGGATTTTATTGGGAAGCACATGGATCTGATGGCTACTGGCGTATAAAGGACGGACAGGAAGTGTATACAGATCAATGTGAGAGAATTCCTCCCAAAACCAGGTGTCGCCCGTGACTCTCTCTTTATGAGAGATGAGGCTTGATTGCCATCCTTCGGGAAAACCTTTCGCTTTTCGTGAATTTGATGGTCTTCTAATGATGTACGCTGTGAGCTTGATGCATGCGGCCGACATATCAGCAGCACGAGCTACGGTCTCTACGAGGGACTTCTCCCGAAGTGCACTTCTCTGCTACTCCATGCAGAACCTTCTGTGATCATAATATTTCGATCTTTTCGCTCAAGTCTACTGCACCCAGCCGCAAGTGTATATACAGAACGCGTTGAGGATTTTATATTTCCATCGTTCCTATCTGACGGTAAGTTGTGCGTGAATGATGATAGTGTACGGCTTTAGTTCCAGGAAAGTCGATTTACGGTTGAAATTCAAGGTGCACCAATAAGAATTGTTACATCGGTTAATCTATGTCATTGAATGTGACGGACGTGGGGTATCATAGTTTTACTCCTTCCTGCCATGAACTCCATAACTCCAAGTAATGCTATCATATTTTCCAGTCTGTATCCATCTCTGTATCGTCATCATCTTCCCCAAACAAATCCCCATACTTGTTGCCATGATTAAATGTAGACGTATGACCTTCCAGATCCAAATGTAATGTATCCATTCTATCAGCAAGTTCATTCGAGTCGAATGTCGGTGGCTTGACATCACTCTGTTTGACTTCTTTCTCAACTATCGAGAAATTCGAGACATGCTTCGATGAACCTTGACCAGTCTCTCCCCTCTCTAAAGCAAGGTTTCCAAATTTCCTCTGCTTGTCTTGGGCTTCCTGTTTGTTCAAGTCCAAATTCTCAATTCCGTCCATAACCAAATCTTCCTCCGTCTTGGGTTCGTCCAGTAAGTCTATATTCGTAGCAGAGCTGTCGCCACTCCTCTCCCAAGCTGGACATTCACTCAATTGAACTCGAACATATAAAGCTCGCCTGGCGCACGTATCCGAGCACCATTTTTCCGCATCTTCTTTCTTCGCAATCCTAAAATCCTTTGCCTTCCCTGACATGCCCAGCAATCTCCACTGACCACCTTTATTATCTCGCGGCCGCGGATTGGCACACAAGGTATACCCGCACCGACTATCGAGATTGCGTTCGAGGATTAGGGCATCGTAGTCGCTGGGCTGAAAGGGTCGAAGCATCTCTTTGAAGGCGCGGGCGTCGGACGGTGCGGGGTTCGAGGCATCGTGGGGTGGAGAGGAGGCGAGCGGGAAATCAATCAGTGATTCGGTGGAGGAGAGGATTTCGAGCTCGACTTCTTTGCGTTCTTGGATGAGGCGCGCGTGGTAGAGGGCTACTTCGCGGTCGCGCTCGGCTTTGGTGGGTGAGGGGTTGGTGGTGGTGGTGGAGGGGTAGGAGGAGGAGGAGGAAGTGGTTTTTTTTAATATTGATTTGGGCTTTTGAAGGGTGGACATATTTGTGTTTTTTAGAGTTTGTTTTCGTTTCGTTTTTGTTGTCCTCTTCTTAGGTTGTGGGTGGGTAGGTAGGTATTTGATGTATTGGATAGATTGGAATAGATTTGATTTGATTTGATTTGATTGATTTGAGCCGAGTCGAGTTGATTTGATTTGATTGATAAGATTGATGGTTGGGTTTCTTAATCCGTGGATCTATTAAAGAACGGTACGGTATTCCATTCAATTTGTTCCGTTGAAGAGTAGCCGACAGCCTAAAATATAGATAGCTGTATATGGCATGGCATTAGTCTCCCCGTACCTGAGCTCACCTGCAGTTGAGGAAAGAGAAGGATTGTGTGATTGATTGGAGGGGGAATTGATCGTTTGTCTTTGAGCCAATGTAGTTATATTTGGGTACTATTGTTTATTTGTTCGTTGTATGTTTCTTACATGAAGGAGTATATCGTCTCGAGATCGTTTAAGCTTCAAATCCATGAACCGGTGAACTGTCAGATCGTCAAATCGTCAAATCGTCAAATCGTCAAATCCCCAAGAAACCCTTGTACCTCTGGTTGAGCCACTCTTGACTACTCTTGACCACCTGGGCACTCCAAGGCTCACAATTATACCCTGTGCCTCAAAGTGCCACATCCACATTCATCAAAGTGCTCCTCAGCAAATCTTTGAATAATCACTTGCAAGCTTTCCTTTGCCCACCAGATCATGCAACTGCAACTGCAACTCCAGATGGTCTTATAGGTAGAACGTCCCATAGGAAAAGGGAAGTCTGCAAAGCACCACAAATCAATTCGCATACCTAGGTCCCTGGCATCTAGCATCTGGTATCTAGCATCTAGCATATGTATGCCCGCCCACCTTACGGTACTCTGCAAACCTTCCATCATTCCAAGGTCTCTCTCTTCCAATAAATTACTAGTCCATGAGATCTACCCAGTACCTACCTACGAGTACTACATACTTGTTTACCAAAGTAATCAACACTTAATATTTATTAGTTTATTTCAAGGAATCTTAAATCTTAAAGCTCTCGGTAAGTCATCAATTAACAATCTTGTATATCTTGACAACTTTCAAGATATATCCCGTCTATGACTTCGTTTCATTCATGCGCTGACGTAGACTAGTAGCAGAGTTTAGATACAAACACCGCCCCGCCTCTTTTCCAAAGACTCCCGACATTTTCCTCTTTCCTACAGACTACTCGCTTTCAATTACCGTAAATATTACAAAAGAAAACTTGTGCCATTGTGTTTCCACCTTTCAAACTTTCATTCCTTCGAATCCACCGCTTGATTGTTACGAACATCATCCGTCACAAAACCGGACTTCGGTGGTTGGTAACTAGTTGGGACCGAGTTACAGCATCAACAAGAACTTTGAACCACAACATCGACCTTTACCCTCAACATGTCCATTCCACCATTCAAGGTGAAGGCTATCTTTGAATACACTTCACCGCATGATGATGATCTTCACTTTCCGAATGGCCAGATTATTACGGTGACGGAGGAAGAAGATGCGGATTGGTATGCGGGAGAATATGTTGATGCTTCAGGAGTCAAACAAGAAGGCATTTTTCCACGAAATTTTGTGGAAAAGTATGAGCCTACCGCGCCTCCAAGGCCTACGCGTGTCAATCGACCAAAGAAGGAGCCCGAACCAGCTTCTCCTGTGGTCGCTTCCGAGCCAGTAAGAGAACCAGAACCTCAGCCGGAAATCGAAACACAGCCTGAAGAGGTTCCTGAAGCTCCCGTGGTACAGGAAAGACAACCTCCTCCTCCTCAACCAGCTCCACAGGCTAAACCACCAAATCCTGCATCTCCACCTCCAGCTCCAGCACCAGCAGCTGCAAAACCACCTCCAAGTCAAAAGCCAACTTCTCCTCCTGTTAGTGAAAAACCAAGCGCCGGGTCATTTAGAGATCGTATTGCAGCATTCAACAAGGCTGCACCTCCGCCAGCTCCATTCAAACCCGCAGGTTTCAGTTCTGGAGGCTCGAATAATTTCATCAAAAAGCCATTTGTCGCTCCACCTCCAAGAAAGGATGCTTATATTCCTACACCGCGCGAACCCCCGCCACAAAAGATATACAGACGTGAGGAAGATCCCGAGATTGCAGCAAAGGAGAATGAGAATCAGGAACAAGCTGAACGAGCAGGATTAGCGCCCACTTCTCCAAACAACAATGATGAAGAGGAACAGCCTAAGCCAACGAGTCTCAAGGAACGCATCGCACTTTTGCAAAAACAGCAAATGGAACAAGCTTCTAGACATGCGGATGCAGCGCAGAAGAAAGAGAAGCCTAAGCGCCCACCCAAGAAGAGAACAGAATCTCATGAAGTCACAGAAGAGGGAGAGACTGCTAGCTTAGAACGACCGGATACTGGGGATAGGCCTGGAAAGATGTCAATGGATTCTGTTAGGGAAGAAGAAGGTGTGCCACGACGAACGAAATCTTCTCGGGGACCCATTCCATCGATTGAGGATGGAAATGAAGCGGACATGTCAGGAGCAGCCGAAACTGCGGAAGAATTGGAAGATACCGGAAAGGATGATAGCGACGACAAACCTAAAGTCAAACCCCCTCAACCTCTTGTTCGTGCGCCAACAGCTCCAGTCGTGGAACCGGATGTTGGCGAAGAAGAAGGCGCCGTTGAAGAACCTTCGCCTGTTGAAGTAGAAGAGGAGGAGGAGGAGGAGGAAGACGATATCGACCCCGAAGTAAGACGCAAAGAAGAATTACGTGCTCGAATGGCAAAAATGAGCGGCGGTATGGGTATGCATGGAATGTTTGGCGGTGGAATGCCAATGGCAGCTCCTCTTCCACCAAAAAAGAAGAAACCATCCTTGCCACTTCCAAAACGTGGAAGCACTGCTGGATCAGACGCGATAGTTTCCCCAATCGCTAGCGCGCCACCTGTACCAATGATTCCTCTTCCTGGTATGTCTCGAGTTCGAAGCCCGGATGAAGTCGAGAAACAGGAGGAGACTGAGGAAGAGAAGCGACCAGTCTCATCTGCGCGTCCTGCTGATGTAGTACCGGATGTTGAGGATGTTGTACCTGAGAAGGAAGAAGAATCGGCACCTCCACCTGGTAAATATTTGGGTCCCATAATGTGATTATCAAAGACTAATTCTTTTTACAGTTCCTACTCATGATGGCGGCGCACAACCCCCAGTTCCGAGTGGACGACCTGCTCCTCCACCTATTCCAATTGATTGTAAGTCATCTATCAGTGAATTCAATCAATCCCATATACTTACAATATCAGCTCGACCAGTTCCAGCTCCTCCTGCAGAGATCTTGTCACCAGGCGCTGGTTATGAGTCTGATGATGAAATGGCTGAGCAAACACGAAATATGTCATTGGCTGAACCTCCTCAAGCTCCCCCTCGACGTTCTGAAGTACCAGGTTCTCCACGATCACCAGCTAGTAAGAGAGCTTCATACTTTGGTTCTGAACAATCACCGCAATCTCCAAATACGCCTGGTAGACGTGCCAGTAGAGTGCCGCCTATCCCGCTTGGTATTCCTACTCCAGCTCAAACTCGAGCCCCTCCACCACCTCCGCCTGGGGCACCATTGAGCAGATCTTCAACGGGTGATCAAAATATTATTCCTCACTTGAATCCACCTCCTCCACCTGTGGACGATGGAAAAGAAGACGATTATGAAGGTGATTATGATACTGATATCGCTTCCGCGGTACCACATAAAGATGCTTTAAAGCACACCAAAGAAGCAAGTGTTGATGATGCCGCTCTTCGATCTCCAATTGCTTCTCCAACTTTTGCTCCTCCACTTCCTCCACCTACAGCTCCAGCTCCAAAAGCTATTCCACCACCATTGCCATCACAACCACCTCCTCGTCCATCAGCAGAGGTTCCTAGAGTTGCTCCACCAGCTCCACCACCGCCACCACCTGGAAGAGCTCCAGCTCCATGGGAACCTGAGAACAATGAATATGATCCTTACAATTATGCACCAACGACAACCACTGCTCCAGTTCAAGTTGCTCCAGCTACACCAAAAATGGAACCTGTTGAAGATGATTTATACTCAGCTTCTCCACCAAGATCATTTGCTTCGCCTAAACAAGGTCGAGCTCCAGCTCCACCTCCGAATAAGCCTTCAATAAAACAATCTTTGGATCTTAATCGCGCAGCCGTTACTGGTGGTGTACGAAGATCCATGGATTTAAACAAAATGTCTATGGATTCAGGTTTTATGGCCAATGATGTTGATTTGGGAATTGGTAGTCAATGGTGGATTGTCAAGAAAAGTCTCCCCCCTGTTTTCCAGGCTCGAAAAGACATTTTGACCGAATCGGAAGATACATCATCAATTTCTGATACGAATCAACCTGTTGTCACAAGAGAACTTTTTGTCTTATTTCATGATTACTCTCAAACGATTATCGCAGCTCAATACAATCCAAAGGATCCTTCTGATTGTCAACTCGAACAAAAACATGAAGGGCCTCCTGCTCGTTTACGTCAAGATCAATTGGAAGAAGCTCATGAACGCTTTGGTAAGCGTGTCATTGAAGCAGTGACTGTTAGACAGAATACTATTGTTGGTGATGGTACACCTCAAGGATTAATTCTTGAATTACTGAAACCATTAGCTGGTGTACTTATGCCAGTAGGTACTCGAGCTTATGGTGCTCTTGTTTACAGTAATATGGCCAATGCATCGACTCAACAATTCGATGAGATCCGAGCAGGTGATATTGTTACACTGAGAAATACCAGATTCCAAGGTAAACATGGATCAATGCATACGAAATATACAGCAGAGGTTGGTAAACCCGATCATATGGGTGTAGTTGCTGAATGGGACGGTACGAAGAAAAAGTTAAGGGCATGGGAACAAGGAAGAGAGAGTAAGAAGGTTAAGCTAGAGAGCTTCAAGTTGGATGACTTGAGAAGTGGTGAAGTCAAGATTTGGAGGGTTATGCCGAGGAGTTGGGTGGGTTGGGGAGAGGGGAATTAAG